TTTTCCTTTGGCATCTCTGTGGTTAAGCACACAGTGACTATTTATAGGGACTTAAACTTTGCTTTAAAAATGAGACACCCTGCTTGGCTTACCATAAAAACACAGATGCTTCTAGGTTTCAGTAGGGAAGCCTCTTGTCTATAGCATCTGTTTTAGTTGGCCAGCCAGATGATATCTGCAGATCACCTCCCCTTCTTTGTTTAAAGATATTGACACAGATTTATAAATGAAAAGGTTAATTAGCATTTTGTAAAGTTTTTTTACCTGACTCTGTCAGCTGTGTAATTTTGTTTCATTTATTTTTTCTTTTTCCATCTTTCATGTGTGATGTTCACATGTGGATGTGTGCACACATGTGTGAACATGCATGTGAGGCATGAGATTGATGTGAGGATTCATCCTCCATCATTCTTACACCTTATCCATTGAGAATCAGTTCTTTCGGTCAAATGCAGAGCTCCTGGATATGGCTAGTCTCTAGCCAGCTTGCTCTGTGGACCTCGTGTCTGGGCTGGAATTTCAGGTGGGCTACTCCACCTACACAATATTTACAAGGGTTTCTGGGGATCCAAACTCTGGTCCTCAGGCTTACCCAATAGGTGGCTAACCTCAGAGCCATCTTATCAGCCCCAAGTTGTGTGTTTTGTCACATGTTCTTTGGGTTGCTTATATCACAGTTGAAACAGGTTTGTATTGATCTATAAATATATGCATTTGATAAATTTTTAACTAGCCCTCACTGTATGCCAGACCCAGTAGAAGCCCTAGGAACTACAAATGTGAACAGAATCTAGTCTCTGTCCAATTAAAGCATGTAGGCAGACAATAAGAACATAGTCAGGGGCTGGAGAGATGGCTCAGCGGTGAAGAGCACCTACTGTTCTTGCAGAGGACCCAGCACCCACATGGTGGCTAAACAACTGTCAGTAACTCCAGTTCCAGGGGATCCAGTGCCCTCTTCTGGCCTCCACATGAATTTGCACGCACATATATGCACTTACACTCATACACATAAAAATCAAATTAGGTAAGTAAAAAACATTTTACAAAAGAATGTAGTCAGAGCTTCCATTTGAAGTTTATTGTATCAGTTTAATTGGGAGGGAACATCTAGAAAAAGTAGCATCTAAGCTGAGAATTGTGTAGTGTATAGTAACTGGCCGAGGAAGATTATAAAAGGAAAAAACTTAAAGGTGAACAGACCCTAGGAAGGTAGGAAAACCTGAATTAGTTTAATACATTTTAGGCAGAGGCTGGTCAAGATATGACCTTGAACAAAATGCTGTTTTATTCAGAAAGCAAACTTGTAACCTTAACTCTGTTCATTTTATTGGAAATTAGTGATTTCCAAACATTTAAGCATGAATTCTATAAGTTAAAAAAAACTGTATGCCCAGGATGGCCATAATATATATAAATTGATTTTTGAAAGGTTTATACACATAGTAAAATATACATACAATAAAAGAATAGACTAGTGACCAAATGCGTTGTACTCTCACATTTTTATTTTACTAATAATACATAAAGTGGGGACTAGAGACATGGCTCAGCGGTTAAGAGTACTGACTGCTGTTGCAGAGGACCCGGGTTTGATTCCCAGCACCCACATGGTGGCTATGAACCATCCTTAACTCCAGTTCCAGGGGAATCCGAAGCCCTCTCTGACCTCTGTGGCACTGCACAACAATGGGTGCACTCACATACATGCAGGCAATACACTCATACACATAAAATAAAATAAAAATAATAAAACAAGCGTTTAAATAATACATAATGTGATGAATTACTGATCTTTAATATCTTGGTTAAATGTTCTGTGATACATCTATTCAAAGGCCTGTTTCTAAATTTACCTTATTTTGACACTTAATTTTTTAAAAATTCTATTTATTATTTTTATTTTATGTGTATGCGTGTATTGGCTGCATGTAGGTAAGTGCACCTGTGTCGTGCAATGCCCTCAGAGGACGGAAGAGGCTGTCGGATCCCCTGGAACTGGAGTTACAGACAGTTGTTAGCTGTCATGTGGGTGCTGGGATACGAACCCGGGTCTTCTGCAAGAACAGTCAGTGTTCTTAACCGCTGAGCCATCTCTCCAGCCCCTTGACATTTAATTTTAATGGCAATCAAAGCCTAGATCGAAATGGGGCATTGGCTTCATTTTTGAAATCATGGTATTCTTTCTTGTTTGTTTGTTTGTTTTGGTTCTTTTGAGACAGGGTCTCCCTGTAGCCCCAGCTGTCCTGGAACTCACTGTGTAGACCAGGCTGGCCTTGAACTCACAGAGATCCACCTGCCTTTGCCTCCCAAGTGCTGGGATTCAAGGTGTCCGCCACCACGCCCAACTGGTAGTCTTTAAAAAAAAAAAATCAAATTAATCATCGTTTCTGGAAATGTTTGATTGAAATGTGGCTAGTACATTTCCATCTGTCTACTTGTTTTTCCCACAAATTAGTCATAATGTATTACACTTTTCATAGTGCTAATAAATGCCTTTAAAAAAATCACTGATGCTTAGATGGTGGTTTTAAAAGCTTAAACTATTCTATTCTAGCTTTAAAAAGCACACATATATGAGTTTGTTTTTAGGTTGCATGTATTCTTTTCTTTAAATTACACTTATTCTCTCTCTCTCTGTGTGTGTGTGTGTGTGTGTGTGTGTGTGTGTGTGTATCATGACACATGTATAGGGGTCAGAGGACAACTTGAGAGAGTTGGTTCTCTCCCTCTACCATGTGGGTCCTAGAGACCAAACTCAGGTTGCCAGACTTTATGGCAAATGCCTTTACTTGCTGAGCCATCTTGCCAGGCTGCACGTATTTTTTTCAAAAAGTGCAGTCACTTGGCAATGGAACTGTTTCTGGATACCCAATTTTGTAATACTCTATTCATTAGAACAAGGTATTTTTTTCCATTTTTGAAAAAAAAATTTAATAATTATTTTTATTTTATGTGTATGCGTGTATTGCCTGCATGTAGGTAAGTGCACTCATGGACAGAAGAGGCTGTCAGATCCCTGGAACTGGAGTTACGGACAGTGTTAGCTGCCATGTGGGTGCTGGGATACGAACCTGCGTCTTCTGCAAGAAGAGTCAGTGTTCTTAACCACTGAGCTATCTCTCCAGGCCCTGAAAAAAAGTTTTGTTTCTTTTTTTAAAGAGATTTACTTGGCGCATGCCTTTAATCCCAGCACTTGGGAGGCAGAAGAAGGCAGAGCTCTGTGAGTTCAAGGCCAGCCTGGTCTATGTAGTGAGTTCCCACCAGCCGGGGCTACAGGGAGACCCTGTCTCAAAAAGATCAAAAAAAAAAAAAAAAGATTTATTTTTTGTGTATGAGTGTTTTGCTTCCATATGTGTATGCATACCACATGAGTGCCTGATATCTGTTGGAGTCAGATCCCATGGAACTAAAGTTACAGAGGATTATGAGTTGCCATGTGGATGCTGGGAATTGAACCCAGGTCCTTTTCAAGAGCAACAAGTGTTCTCAACCACTGAGCCATCTTTCCAGCCCCTGAAAAACATTTTTATTTTATAGGGAGGGCCGGGGAAAGTTTTTGTCTACTTAATATCTTCTTGGTAATATACTACTTATATTCTCTTCAGAAACATTCAGCATGTTTGGAACACTAGTCTTTTATAAAATAATTATGTAATAATTTGTCTTGATTTTGAGACAGAGTCTTGCTGTACCTTAGGCTGGTATGGGACTCACTGTGATATCCAGGCTGGCCTCAAAAGTTCTCCTTCAGCCTCAAGACAGCTGGGATTATGGATATGCATCAATATGTTCAGCTCTTTTAAGTACTTACCTTGTGGTAACCAGTAATCCCTGTATAGTCTTAAAAGAAAAGGGGGACTGGAGAGATGGCTCAGAGGTTAAGAGTACTTAATGCCCTTTCAGAGGACCAGAGTTCAGTTCCCAGCACCCACATCGGGTGACTCACAATTGTCTGTAACTCCAGCTCCACAAAAAACATTTGTGCAGCTGGGGGATGTAGCTCAGGTGGTCCAGTGCTTGCCTAGCATTCGTGAAACCCCAGGTTTGATCTCCAGGTGATGCACACCTGTACTAGCACTCGGAACATGAAAACAAGAGATCAGAAGTTCAAGGACAGCCTTAGGTGCATGAGGTTATGTCTCAAAAAGAAAGAAAAACAAACGTAAACCATTATTTGGAAAAATGGCTAGTAGCTATTGACTAAAAGGGCTGCTGATTGCTGTTTTTCTTTTTGAGTGCCTCTTGGGTTTTTTTGAGAAAATTTTTGTTGAGAAATGTTTGGAAGTTTTTTGTTTTCGTTTTTTCTTTTGAGACAGGTTCTTGCTATGTAATACAGGCTAGCCTCAAACTTGTGGTAATCATCCTCCCTCAGGCTGGAAGGTTGTTTTCTTTCATCTGTAGGAAATATGAGTCATAGCCATTTGGGATTGCTTATAAAAAGATGCTTTTTCATAATACATTTTATCAAATTTATTACTTGATTTCACTTCATTTTATGAGCAATGATTCTTTTCTTTGAAAGGACTAGAAAATCAATTCAAATAAGTTTGAGCAAAAAGAATTTTTTTGGCTCAAAACCAGTATCTCAGACTGGCCTCAGGGCCTTTAACTTGGGTGTCAGGTGTGTGTTTCCAATTACCTGTTTGTTAGTTTGTGGGCTTTGCTTTCTCTGGGATGTTGCCACTGTCATTTAGAATGGAAAGTCTCCTTTCCGGTAGTGCTGTGGTAAGGAAGAGCTTTTCTTCTAGTGCCGTGGGTGGGGTAGGGAGTGTTTGTGGCCACATGTGCTGTGGTCGGCAGTCATACAAACCCTCAGGAAATGAGAGGCTCACAGCTTCCCATTGCTACCACTGAGGAGGGAATACTGGGAGTCAGAACCAATAAATGTTAACCACTGCTTTTGTGGTCATGAAGAGTAGGGAGCAGGAGCCCTAGCATGTTCTTTAAGGTGGTAAAATGTGATTTAATTTTGTTTTCCTAATTATTGGTTCTTACAGAATATGCAAGCTGCAAGATGCCCTACAGATGAGTTATCTTTAACCAACTGTGCAGTTGTGAATGAAAAGGATTTCCAGTCTGGCCAGTGAGTATCTAACCTACTAGGTGGTATTTTATAAACTTCTAAAGAGTCATTTTAGGGAAACTTCAGAGGATTACCTTTTTTGCTACTCTTACTGAGTTGGAGAACAGAGGTGAGCCTTTTGTATTGCAGTCATTACTATGACAAACTTTGAGAAGTACAGTGTTTTAAAATCATACATAATTTTATAATTTTTTTTTTGTTTTTTGACACAGGGTCTTCCTGTAGCTCCAGCTGGCCTAGAACTCACTACATAAACCAGGTTGGCTTCAATCTCAGAGATCTGCCTTCCTCTGCCTTTGGAGTGCTGAGATTAAAGACGTGGGCCCACCATGCCTGACCTACATAAAACTTTTTTAAAAATTAATTTTCTTAGCATAGCTAAACACACTAGTCAAGAATGACATGTAACATGGTTGTTAAGACATTTTGCTCTAGAGTTAAATTATCAGAGTTTGAATCCTGACTCTGCCAGTTACAAACTGATGACTATAGCTGGGTACTTGCCACCTTTGTGTTCCTGTGTCCTCATCTATAAAATGGGGGTGATGGGCTGGAGAAGTGGCTCAGCAGTTAAGAGCACTGACTGCTCTCACAAAAGACCTGGGTTTGATTCCCAGCACCCACATGGTGGCTAACAACCATCTGTAACTCTAGTTCCAGGGGATCTGGCATGTGTTCCTGTGTCCTGATCTATAAAATGGGGGTGATAGGCTGGAGAAGTGGCTCAGCAGTTAAGAGCACTGACTGCTCTCACTGAGGACCTGGGTTCAATTCCCAGCACCCACATGGTGGCTAACAACCATCCCTAACTCTAGTTACAGGGACTCTGGCACCCTCTTCTGACCTTCATGGGCATTGCATGACACAAATGCACTTTCATACATGCAAGTAATTACACTCATACCCATAAAATAAAAAAATAAATTCTTTAAAAATAAGAAAATAGGGGTGATGATATTTTTCTCTATATAGATGTGAAGAGTAAGTTACGATAATAAAACATTTAGAATTGTGCCTAGCACATTAGTGAGCCCTTGATAAAGTTTTGTTGGTATGATCATTATTATTATGATAATGGAAGAGATATGAAAATTAGAAGACAAAGACCTCAAATCTTTAAAAACATTTTTGTCATAATTTATTTTTACTGATTCGCATCACTGACTGAACTTCCAAACATTGTTGCCAAGTTCAGTGCCAAAATTCAATTACCAAAACGCAATCAAGGGACAGAAGGAAGTGCCTTCAGAGTGAGGCAGTACTGCATGATTGTGCTAATGTTCCTAGGGCTAAATGTTCTGTGATGCTAAATTGAAGACTTTCAGTTAACAGACTGAAGTACGGGTAATCAATGAGAGACTTGGATGGAATTCTTTTACATGGATTGAATATTCCACTTAAAAATATAGTAGTTATGGCCGGGCGTGGTGGCGCACGCCTTTAATCCCAGCACTCAGGAGGCAGAGGCAGATGTTTGTGAGTTTGAGGCCAGCCTGGTCTACATAGTGAATCCAGGACAGCTGGGGCTACAGGGAGACCCTGTCTCAAAAAGACCAAAATTTGTGGTAAAACAATATGTACAGAAACATCAGCTTTAGAATTATTTACATTCGAATTATTACATTGTAAAAGATCATTGTCGAAAGATAGGTGGCTTGTGAGGTGAAGCTGAGCGGTGGGGTATGTGCCTAGCTCTTCTGGCAGGTTCCATCTTTAGCCATCCCCCATGCCACCCCTTTTATACACAAAAGGTAGTGCTGCTGTGAAGCAAAGTTTGATGCCTCTAGCTCAGACAGTCCTTATTAGTTTCTTGGGGTAAGAGGTTATATGAGATGATTGTATTTTATTTATTATGGGTAACTTCTGAACAAAGAATTGGCACAGAATTCCTTGAAATAGTAAATATTAATATTATCTGTATGAAAGTTGATATTTGGGGGAATTTTTCTTTTTTTTACTATTTATTTTATGTTATTAGTTTAGCCTTTGAGAGAATCTGCTGAAAGATTTAATAACTAACCTTTAAAACTTACTACATATCTTATAGAACTCCTAGCTCTCCTGTCTTTGGTTCTTCTACCTTTATTTTATTAGAACATGTGACATAATCCTCAGGAGGAGAAATTTGTCTGATTTTTACATAATTTCAAGGACTCTGAATCATGACTTCAGTTTTATGTAAATTGGAAATGTCATCAATTTGATGTTTTGAATTGGATGTACTCTTTGTGGAAGACAGAAGAGGGTGTTGGACCCCTTTGAGCTGGAGTTATGGACGGGTGTTAGCTTCCATGTGGTTGCTTACTGGGATTTAAACCCAGGTCTTCTGCAAGAACAGCCAGTAATCTTAACCACTGAGCCATCTCTCCAGCCTCCCCTCATCCCAGCTGTTCTTTATGTTTGGAAAATATTCTGGCCGGGCATGGTGGTGCTCACCTTTAATCCCAGCAGCAGGTGGATCTTTGTGAGTTGGAGGCCAGCCTGGTCTACAGAATGAGTTCTAGGTCAGCTGGGGCTACAGGGAGACCCTGTCTTAAAAAGACCA